CCCCAAAACCCCAAAACCCCAAAACCCCAAAACCCCTTTAATGATGACATAAGTTGACGTTTGTATTAAATCACCTAAAATTAAATATGGGGAAGAAAGCACCAACTAAGAATAAGTCTAAGAAAGCTAAGAATGGTAAGATATAGCAAGAGATAGGGGCTTGAAAGGGGGATATGAGTTCTGTGGAACTGTTTTGACTATGGAATATAGGTACTAATGAAGCTGAAGGAAGAAAGGGCTCAGCATCTGGAGATGGATACATTGGCAAGCATCATGCTGGAAAAGATTCTGAGAGTGGAAGTGATCATGAGGAGACCTTGCAGATAAATGAGGCTAAGGCAGAGACTATTGCAGCTTTCCATACAGTGATGGAACATGAAAAAGATCTTTTGCAGAAGGAATTAGAGAAGGCCATGAATAAGATGACACGTCATGTGGATAGTTTGATGCAAAAATCCTCCTTATCAGGATCTCAGTTCTTAGGCGTGACAGAGTCTAAAAAGCAAAAAGCTATCTTTAGCGAGAAAGTGTTTGAGCAGAGGGATTCTCTTCTCATTGAATCAACGAAGAAAGGGAAAGAGGCTCATACGGTGTACAATATCTTTGTAGCCATCTTAATTCTGGTATTTTTCAAAATGCTTGTTCATGACACACTCCAAAAGGGGCATCATTTTATAGATATGACTCTTCTTTATGATGCTCATAAGACCATCATAGATGTGATCATTCTTTGGATTCCTTCCTATATCTTTAGCTTCTCTGTAGTGGGTCTTGTCCACATTATTTTAAGCTTGAAACTCAGCCACTTCATTTATTTGCCAATTTACTCGGTGTTAGTTCTGTGAACTATGGCGTATCCAATCTATGCATCATTTGCTCTAAATGATGACCCAGTTGGAGGCCTAATCCTCACATGTGAGATGTCGAGGCTGATCATGAAGATGCATGCCTACTTTAGAGAGAAGCTTCTCCATCTTACTCCTAATGAGTATAGAGAATTTATCCCTGAGTTTGCTAAGAGAAAAGGTGTCTCCTACAAAGATCTTAATATGCCAGTGATAAAGAAGGGAAGTCTTTCAGAGGAAATCAGGTTGTTTAATTACTTCCTATGGATCCCAACTCTGGTATACAGAGACGAGTATCCAATGAGGGCTAGGATGAACAAGACTAACCTTCTGGCAAGTTTTTTCTCTTTCTATCTTTGCTTCTATTACGTGTTCGCCCTCATTAAAGAGTTGGTTATTCCTACTTTTGACAAGTTTTTCAATGAGCAGGCCACTTTTGAGGATGTTGTCACCTCTTCTTGCCTAACTGGAGTACTTTTCTTAGTACTAGCCTTCTTTGGGGTCCTTCACTCTTGGATGAACATATTCGCTGAAATCACTTTGTTTGGAGATAGGCAATTTTACACAGATTGGTGGAACGTTTCCAACTATGGTGCTTACTATAGAAAGTGGAACATTATAGTTCACGAGTGGCTCTATTATTATGTCTACAATGACTCTGTGAGACTTTCTAAAGGAAAGATGAGCAGTTTTGGAGCAAAATTCTGGGTCTTCTTCATCTCAGCAGTTATCCATGAGGTTATCATTGTATGCTGATTGAAGTTCTTCTTCCCAATATTACTCATAATGTTCGGAGGTATAGGGGTATTCTTCATGGCTATTACCAAGTCCAACAATAGGATTCTTGGGATTATGTTTTGGCTAACCATGATTATCGGAAATGGACTACTTATCACCCTTTATTGACTTGAATATTATGCTAGGAAGCAGCCCTTCTATCAGGAGAAGATGGAGAATGATGGATTGATTTCATTCTTTACTCCTCAGAGCTTTCACTATCTAATGGGTAGATATTCATAACTAACGGAGATAAATGCCAGGCATACTACTTAAAATTCAATAAAGCAGTGCGATAAGGGGTTTTGGGGTTTTGGGGTTTTGGGGTTTTGGGG